AATTAATATATCAAATTATTCATGTCTTGATAAGCTTCGATTTGACGTCTATATTGTACATAAAAAAATAATAAATAAATTACCTATTAATATTAATTAAAAAATAAAATTATTTAAACATTTTAACTACAGAGTTGTCAAATGATATAATTTGACAAAAAAAGTTATTATAAGATAAAATGTAAGCCATATAGGTGATGTCTGTTATTTTAAATATAAATAGTAATATAGTCATTAAAAAAATATTTGAAAAAACAATTTTTATTTTTATCTTTAATTTAAAATATAAGTTCTTAACAAACACTCGTGTAATACACGGAATTTATAGAAATTATTTTATTAATTATGAATCATTTAAATTTGACCACTGTTTTTTATATCTTAAAGGATCTTGATTTATTTAAGCTATCTACCGCAACATGCACTATCTTAATGGTCAAAATTAAATGAGCTTCGTTACTTCTGTGATCCAAAGCTATTGACTCTGTGGTTAATTTTTATTTTTATTTTTTTTTTATTTTTTTTTATTTTTTTATTTTTTAATTAATTACATGGGAGACTTGTGGAGTGAATCTGTATGCATCAATAAAAATAGTAAGTGCTGTAATTCGTTTCACGTGTGCACATGGAAATGGTTTGGTGCCTCGGATCTTATCTTACTTTATAAGAAAAACGGATATGAAGGAAAGTACTTTGTTACACAATTAAAGCCACGAATAATTTAATTTGTCAATACATTAGTAACTTATATTTTTTCATAGCTGTATTTGACACTGTTTTCTACATTGTTCTTGTTCATTTTCACAAAGGAGAGTTAGGTGTAGCTTCTTAATTAGTACAAAAATTATGATAGTGCTAAATAGAACATCTTTATTTTTCATATCATATCTTTAGTTTGTTTATTATTTATATTCAGCATTGAGATTACATAAATTTGCCAATTGCCAATATATCACCAGATATGGTTCCTTTTACTTGGATTAGTAAACATAATTTTCAATAGTAGTTGCTTTTGAGCAGTGGGGTCTATGTAAGACTTGAAATTATGAAGACGTGAAGTTTAGGCAAAGAAAATGTGGACTATTTCCTATTTCCACCACATATGTGCATTGGATGTGCCGTGATTGCAGTTAGACAATTGTAAAAGCCATTGAATAAAATTGTTAAGGGTGTGATTGGATATAAACTGGACTAGTAAAAAATCAATCAAAACTTAAATGTAACTCAATTCTACTATTCTCGATATTATAAATATAATTAGATAATATAAACCAATCATTTTTATATATCACATCAATTTTAATTCACTATTCATCCGTTCATATAATTTTAACTAACCATCATTTCTAATCATTTTTTTATTTTCCATCAAATCAACTTTAATTATTTTATTTTCAATATTATTTTAATTTAAACTTAAATTTCAACCACCAACTAACAATACCACTTTTTTCATAATCCCCTCTATATATAAATTTAGAATGCGCTGAGTCTACGTGGCAAACTCTCATGCTCCGGAATCCTATTTAGCAAAATACTATGCTTTGGAGTTAGGCTTGGATATAAATAAATATTTTTTATCACACTAAATCCATGATTGATTTTTTCCTTCTTTACTTCGACAATTAATTACCATAAACTATTTTATATCATATATGATATATCAATTTAACTAACTTTTAACGATTTTTTATTTGACATCCATGTATATATAATACAAAACTTATTTATCAAACTAAATTAAATTATATCAAATAAAACTATAAATTATATTATAAAGTAATAGAAATTAGTATGTATTCCTTTAAAAATGATATTGATTTCAAATCTAATTGGTATGTTGTCAATCTAATAAAAAACAAATCATTATTTATCTAAATTCTAAAATTACATATAAAGTTAAAAAACTGTGAAACACGATTGATACGACACGTGATGTATTAGACATCTAATTAAGTAAAAAAAATAATCTATTTTGCTTAATATTAAATAAACATATTCTACACTTATGCATATGCATATCACCATATTATTTCTATTTAGTTAAGATATATATTTTTGTACTTATGTAATAGTAAATAATATCGATATTTTTAAATGATATAAGTAAAAAAAAAAACACGGGTTGACATTTTCATTTAATGTACGAGCGTTTAATTATTATGATTAAAATATATAATTTGACAATTTAGTTAAAACCCAAAATAATGTTTTATTTAAAATTAAATTATTTTAGTTTTTTAAAAAAATAAAAAACTTAATAATTTTTACAAAAGTTTTCTAATTCAACACCCGTGTAATACACGGATATTGTACTAGTTAACTATAGTTAACAACAAAACCAATCAAATTCATATCCAATCACATCCAATCAAATTAATAAGTTGATGTTTGTCATATCGGTTATTAATAACCTATGTGCTAGGCGTGCATATAACACATCGGTTATTCTAATTCATTAAAAGCAGAATATGAAACTAAAAATCAATAAAGGAAGAATGAGGAATGTCATTAGTTTACATATGGTAGTACGCTAGAGAATGATATTAAGGAACACAAAAAATAGAGTGAGAATTGTCAACTTCTTAATATCCTCTTGAACTCCTCCCTTAACATACCGCAAATCCTTCTCCTAATTTATACGCAGAGGTGAGGGCATCTCTAATCATACTATTTAAAACTTGAGCGTTCTCATATCTATTAAATTCTTTTTTTTTTTTTGAATCATTAATGAACAATTTTAATCATTAAATCAGCAATATTCATTATTAAAGCTGACCTTAATAGTTAAAGCTACCAAACATTCATGTTTATTTGCAGACAATAGAGCATCACTTTCATAAACTGAAAGAGTCAACAACTTTGAGATATATTAGCTAATTTTAGCCTAGCATAATATTCAACCTGTGGGAAGATGAAGATGGCAGTGTAGTTATTTGCAGACAATAGAGCATCACATATCTACAAATTTCTAAAGAAAAGGAGAAACTTGGTATTGGTGGGTTGATTGTAGTATAAGCGGAGATGAAGTTACTTGGGGCCCAATAGCAATAATCCTAGTAAATATTCGTTCTATTCTTTAAATTTAATTACAAGAAGCAAAAATCAAATATAATCTATTACATAAATGCATCATATATAATAAGATTTTATTTATTATTAGGTCATAAAGCTACATCACAAATTAAACATACCCTCGATAATTTATAAGAAAATAAATATTCAGTTACAAGTAACATCGGAAACAAAGAAGTTACATATAGATAAACACAAACAGTCTATTAAACACAAACAAAGAAGGAAAGTGACTTCGCTCTAAGAGCCCAAATCTTTCCACCTTACTGGCAGCAACGAACCTGAGATAAAAAAAGGCATATTAAGACTCTTGAAATTCATGATGAGAGTAGCTAAAAACATATTGTACTTTAAATTGTAGGCAAAACCCTTTAGTAAAGGGCCAAAAAAATATCGTCGATCATTATCGATTACTTAAAGAAATGCACGATCAAAGAGGACAAATAGATTCTTTCTATCATTTCATTGATGCATAACCAATTTCGTAACAAGCAAAATTTAATGTTCATCGAAGATCATAAATCATAAACAATACCCTTGTCTACTTGCAAATGGACAGAAAATTTTAAATCTCAACATTGATTCACTACATCGTTGATGATGACAAATAAACACCACCTGTGATTCAAATGCTGAATTTTGGTGGAATTGCTATCGTGATTTCTAATTAGAGATGTTAAAATCAAAGCAGTTTTGATGAGTAACATATGCAGTTGATGTTGTATTCTTGGCGTACAATGCTCTTGCAACATTGTGTCGAGACTAGTAAAATGTTAAAAAAGGAGCAGTAGTGATGTTTTCTTTTCAAAGTTCATACAAAAGTATGACTTCCAAATCAAGCTTCATCAAAGGTAAACAGCAGTACAAGCTAAGAAAATGGAACAAGTAGGTCATAAAGGAAAAGTCCACTCCATTCGTGGACGCATTAGCCTGAATATTATAAAGACCTCAACGTGAAGTGCCAACTTCTAAGTGGAATCTTTGAAAAAGTAGTAAATCTTTTAATCTATCCTATTGAGTCATTTGATGATGCAGATTCAAGATGTTATTCAGTTCTCTCTCTCTCTCTCTCTATATATATATATATATATATCTTTTTCTATTGTCTTGTATGTCTTTCGGTTATCTCTATACATATATATCAGAGTTTGATAAGTAACAACACACCACTATCCAATAACAAGCATAAGGAAGAACATAAAAATGACTACAAATGTTGCTGTTATGGATCCTACGGTTATTTGCATAACCACTGTCAGTAACATAGAGATCTTTGAGGACACTTAGAATGATATAGAAACCCAGTTTCGTCAATTATTTTCTTAAACACCGAGAAGATCTAGAACAATATAAAAAAGTAGCCTTTTAATTCATATTGAAGCATACGACGAGTAGATCCTCTCTGAGTATAGCTCGAGAATTTGCCCAGAACAACTCAACAAAGTTAAACATTGGCATAATGTAAGTGTAAGATGGGATTGAAAGAACTTCAGCATTTCAATTTGCGTTACACTAAAACGAATAAAACTGCACCCTTGCATCATAATCAAAAGCTTAATCAACCAGATCAGATCACACACATTTTACAGGGATGGAAAGGCTCAACATTATACCAAATTCCTGATTTCATCCCTATTTGCACAAGCACCTTCATTTCATATTCCTCAAAGTTTCTCATTTTAGAAATCTATCTAACACAATAAGAAGACAAGCAATCATCACACAAATCTCCAACAAAGTTCTCAAGGAAACAATCAGCACATTTCCATTTTACCCAACCATTATCTCAGTAAATCATCTTTAAAAACCCTAAATCACCCTTATTAAAAAATCAAAGCATTCACCAACCTGAACTGTATTATCTCAAAAAGCTAGTTGCTCTCCAGCTACTTACTTCTGTGAAAAAGAACAAAACCCAATTCCTCTCAATCGCTTTCATCTCCGAACAGCAGCCGGAGCCTGGCCGCAAAAGCCCCCGTCGGCTCGAGAGCTGCTTCGGCCCGGAGGCTGCGCTTGATGTGGTTCATGCGGGCGATAAGTCCCTCTTGATCCTCTTTCAGTGCGGAGGCGTCCTCCGTGAGGTTGTGGATGCGGTACTTCTGTCCGAGAGATCGGCAACTCAACAGAAGGATCCCGGTCATCGCGAAGAACTGAATGAAGCTTTGTTTACTCTTCTTTGCATTCTCGAGAAAACCGAGAGGCTTGCGGCTGCCGATGGGGGTTGCGGACGGCGGCGCTGAGGATGCCATTTCTCGGCTAAGTGCTTGCAGTGTGGTGCAGGGATTAGTGTGTGTTTTTGAGAGTTCAGTGGGCCGATCAACCACGGTTAGTTTAAATTGAAATATTGGGCTGTGGCCCATTATTATTGCGTTAAGCAAATTGGGCCATTACCATTGTCCATCTAAAAACATTAGTTAAAAGACATTATATACCTTTCACAAACTTTTACAAAATATCTTCATTTTAAAACAATTCCATAGAATTTCTATGCATATATATATACATATATATTTTCTATTTTATATTATGTTTTTTCTTCAATCAACTTTTAGTTATCCTAAGTTTATTACATTATCTCTATAGCTTATTAAAAACTAACTTGAAACTTTTAGTTTATCGTATGTTTATTATCTTTTTTTACAAAATCACAAAAAACAAATTGACAAAAAAAAGGGAAAAAAACATATGCAAAATAAAACTAAATATAAACTACAAATAAGACAAAAAATAAAATAAAAATAACCATAATCTAACTATCAGTGAACATCAATCTAACTCTCAAATGTTCAAAACATAAATATATTACAGATCAATAGACAAACTCCTATATCGTATCATTGCCTTAAGCATAGTCGGACCCCTGCAGATTGAAATTCGAATTCGTAGCTCCCGACCCAAAATTCCTACTCACGCCTCGAACACGATTTCCTTCATAGTCAGCCTATCCATTGACGAGCACGCGAAACACTTTTCGAAAAGTTTTCCAACCCACATAAGTACCTCAACAGCCACACACATCCAAACGACTGTCCAAGTTCCTAACCGAGCCGTCCACTCCAACCGACTCCACAAAACGTTGGACCAGATTAAGATCTTCCCCATCAATAGCTCTGCCAGTACCCCTACAAAATGGTAGATGTCACCTTGTTCTATCTGTTCTATCTGTACCTCAGGGCTTAAACAACCCATTGAGCCCGATGAGCTGCCAGGCCACGTTAGTGAGCAATTTCTGAATGTAGTCGTGAAGCAGTAAAATCTCCAAACTACAAAGCCTCATGTAGATAACTGGTGACCTTAAATGCATGATCCACGACCGCAAGCACGCCGTCTGTTCCCACGACGACAAACCATGAAAGAGTGTGTGCGAGGTCATCATCACATATGTGGTCGTCGAGGGTCTTGGCCGTGATACCTTCGTAGTCGACCATCGGGGCAAGTGTCTCTAAACAACAGCCGACGAGTTTTACCAAATTACGGCGGCAATTTCAAATCTAGAGGTTAATCGTACTCTGACAAGGTTTACCAAATTGCGGCAGTTAATTCGAGAGAGGGCACAAATTGTACACCCCAAGCACGATTGTTTTGTCCAATCGTAATGCATTGGAAACACATTCAACACGAAAGAGTATATAATAATATTTTACTGGAAAAACATACTACTCAGTAAATAGATAAGGGTAATTGCAATTTAGAAGTATGAATGTTGATTTTATATTATTTTTCTTTTGAAAAGTATTGTATCTTTAGTACATGATGTGAACTATTGGCTCTTTTATCGGTTTGGTATCAATGATCGCTTCTGTTGGTCGCATTCGGTCCTCAAATAAGAGTTTTTTTGATCTTTTTTAATTTGAATTATCTACCATATATATATATATATATATATATATATATATATATATATATATATATGTATTACGAGAAGCATGTCTATTTTTGTTGATAACAAAGGTTAGTAACACCTACAAAATAGATCGGATAGAAAAGGCTATTGGGTACCAAACCTACAACTATAGGACTACTGATAAGTAGCATTCAACACGAACCAATTACACATTTTCAAGAGACAATTATATTTTTATACAAAAATTGAATTCGGTCCTCAAATAAGAGTTTTTTTCGATTTTTTTAATTTGAATTATCTACCATATATATATATATATATATATTATAAGACGAGAAACATGTCTATTTTTGTTGATAACAAAGGTTGGTAACACCTACAAAATAGATCGGATAGAAAAGGCTATTGGGTACCAAACCTACAACTATAGGACTACTGATAAGTAGCATTCAACAAGAACCAATTACACATTTTCAAGAGACATTTATATTTTTATACAAAAATGTCATATTAAAAACTATAAATTAGGACGGAGAGATTTGGCCGTCGAACAACTAAACTCCACGGCGAAAATTGTGAAATTGGGATTTGAGCAATTGTAATGAGGGCGGAAGATTTGGCCATCGAGCAACAAAACTCCACAAGAAATTTGCGGAATTGGAATTTGGTTTTGTAAAGTTCAATTGCAACTGAAAATGACTAGCAGAGTGTAAAAGCGAATACAATCTTTGAACTTTATGTAAATGAATTGGGCCAAGCCCAACACAATGTATAATATATATATGAGGCCCCCAAAAAATTGAGGCCCTAGGCTATAGCCTTGTCTGGCTGCCCCAAGAGTCGGGCCTGCACATGGCACAAAAATGTGGCCTACAAAAATTCTAGAAGTCTTTCTAGATATAGAAGTATTTCTAAACAATTTATATTATATATTATACTATTTATTCAAATTTTTCTTTTTTTTTTCAACTAATTAAAATTTTAAACATGTCTAATTAAATCATTTTTAACATTAACTATTGGAAACACAATTTCTTAATCTCGATCCTTCATGCCATGCAACTCAAAATAAAGAAGATATCATTGAAGATGCTCTTAATATATTGTCAAAATGTGAAAAAAAGTTAATTAAATTAATGAATTGACGAAAAAAAGAAAGATGCAACTCATAAAATTACATATAAAATAACTTAAATGAAAAATGAACGAAAAACAATTTTCATTATTTGTGTCCGAAAGGAAGACTTTTTAGAACAAACATGAAAATGGTTGAATCAAAATCCAAAACGAGTACCATACAACCTAACAACAGCATTATTTGATAATTTAAAGATACAATATCCGACTCACTGCCAGCCCCAATCTGACCAACAATTAACAAATTTGTAACCTCACAAACACGTGCAATCCACAAAAAGTGCAGCTATTAATTTCACTCATCAAATTGCTTATCTACAGTTACACTCAACATGACCATCTGACTCACCTATGACTCCCCATCCATCCACCCATGACGCACTTCTGACTCAGCTATGCCCCTCACCCTCAAAAATATCTTTATCCGACACTCTTTATCCGTACGCTTACAGCTGTACGCCCTTCTCTATATAAGTCGAAACGCGATTCTCACTTTTACGACATCCAATTTTCCTCTCCTTGTTTAAGAGCTAATAATTCATTTATTTATTTATTCATAAAACTTTACTTAAATAAAAAATATTATTCTTTTCGTTTCGTACAAGAAAAAAATAAAGAAAAAAAAAAGTAAAATGGCAACTCCAGTGAAGGCTCTTGGGTGGGGCGCCACAGACTCGTCGGGCATTCTCTCTCCTCTGGAGTTCACCCGGCGGACCACCGGCAGCTGCGACGTCCAGTTCAAAGTCCTCTACTGTGGCGTCTGCCACTCGGATCTCCACCTCGTCAAAAACGACTGGGGATTTGCCAAATACCCAATGATCCCCGGCCACGAGATCGTCGGCGTTGTCACCGAGGTCGGATCCAAGGTCGACAAATTCAAGGTCGGCGACAAGGTCGCCGTCGGCGTCATGGTCGGATCTTGCCGCCTCTGCGACCAGTGCGAGAACAACCTCGAGAACTACTGTCCGGAAAAACTGGACACCTACAATGGCGTCCAGGCCGACGGATCCATCACCTACGGCGGCTATTCAGATCTGATGGTCGCCGACGAGGGCTTCATCATCCGCTGGCCGGAGAATTTCCCGATGGACCGTGGCGCACCCCTGGTGTGCGCAGGGATCACAACCTACAGCCCACTGAAGTACTACGGGCTGGACAAGCCGGGCCTCCACGTGGGTGTGGCCGGACTTGGCGGGCTGGGCCACGTGGCGGTCAAGTTCCTCAAGGCCTTCGGCGCCAAGGTGACGGTGATGGACATCGCGCCGGAGAAGAAGGCGTACGCTCTCGAAACCCTGGGCGCCGATCAATTCCTGCTGAGCCACGAGTTGGAGTCGGCTAAGGGAACTCTGGATGGAATCCTCGACTGTGTGTCGGCTTTTCACTCGATTCAGGCTTATTTGAGCCTTTTGAAGCCGCACGGGAAGTTGGTGGTGGTTGGGTTGCCGGAGAAGCCGCTGCAGCTGCCGATGTTCTCGCTGGCGACGGAGAGGAAGATGATTGGTGGGAGCATGATTGGGGGGATTAAAGAGACGCAGGAGATGATTGATTTTGCAGCTAAGCATAATATTTTGCCTGATGTGGAGATTATTTCTATGGATTATATCAATACAGCCATGGAGAGGCTCGCCAGAGCAGATGTTAAGTACAGATTCGTGATTGATGTCGGGAATTCGCTGAAAGCTTAGATTATAGGAGGTTTATTAATTATTGTCTTTCTTTTCCCCTGTTTTTCATAAATTGGTGGTGGAATTGTTTTAATATTGTTGCAATAGGCTCTTCTTAGAAGAAAAGATATATGTTCGAAGGAATATACTGATGTTGTTTGCTTATACTATGATTTATTTTCCATGTTTATGGTATGGACCGTATGGTAACGGAGGCAATGATTACAAGGCGAGCACTTTTAGGAGTTCTATATAGCCAAAAGTGTGCAATGGGCCCTATTGAGAAAGGCAAAGGAAAATATTTTATATGCATATTAGGAGTTAGGAAACAAATGGATAAGAATCAGATATCTAGTTATGGGCTTATTTGATTGAAAACAACCAAACAAATTGAATATAATTGTTGATATGATGTATAAATATTTTGAGTTAGTTGATTATAAGGTGATTAGAATTTACATGCAGTATTAAATAGTGAATCGGTATTATACCGGATGAGCTATCGGTATACGGGTTTATTGATTTAATCGATTTTACCATTTACTTTATCATTTTTAATAAATATTAAATTATTTTATTATTAAATATAAATAATGTCTAAAACTAATTTTAACAAATATTAAAGTAAATTAAAATTAAGTGTAGAACTTTCAATATAAAGTGTTAGTTTGGCCAAAATAGTATTTAGAGGATAACCGGTGAAGTTTCATAGGGTGAAAACGGAAGGGAAAGTGGCTTCAGCTACCTTAGACTCCTATGCGATCATGAGTTTGAGTTAAGTTCCTTCCGTGTCCTCATATCCACTATGTATGAGTTTCCGGTCCTCGTCTTCTGTCCTAATGTCAATAGGGCATTGATGGAATGAACCTTTCATACGTCCCAGAGCTTGAAGCTGTCCTTTCCCTTTCAGTCGGCTGGACCACCAGTTAATACCGACCAATACGATGTATTATTTTAAATATTGATTAGATGTATAAAATTACAATCAATCATTATATTTGTATAGGCTATAGCATTATCCTAAAGTGATACATATTTTTTAAAAGTGATTATGTTATAGTAACTCCAAGTCAAGACTTTGAAAGAGTGTTTTGAGTCATTCTACAGTCAGATAATTTCTTTTTAGCCTCAGAACATATCGAACATCAGGTATGCCTGAGATGAATGTCAAGTGTCTCTAATGCTTTGTGTAAATACTAAAGGGCCATTACATAAGAAATACTTGTAATGAATTTACAGAAAATATCTTTAAGTATTTCATTCTTAACATTGATCCTAGACATAATTACATATATCAATTAAACCACCTGTTGTTAAACGGATTTAACAAACGTAATTAAGGTGTGAAACACAACGAAAATTGCAGAAAATATGATTTTTATTGAATTTGATGAGGTCGGTTACAGTTTTGAGCAAGTCGGTATTTCAGTACAGGACGTCGGCAACAAAGAAAACCGAGTTAATAAATGCGTGATTTAATTGGTTGGTCGTGAATCCTCGTATCGACTTTAATGCTGCTATTTATAGTTATATCTGGCATACTTACCAAGAGAAGTCGGCGTCATTTAATGCAGATATGACGGCTAAGGGGCGGCTACGATGCCGGCAAGCTTTTTAGGCTTTGATGAAAGCATGGGCACCCTTTGAACTGAGTGACAGATGTCACTTCTGTCGGGACAAGGTCGGGTTTCTCAGGATATCGGTTGTCCCACAGGTTTGCAACTTGCTACGTCCTTTCAATGGAACCCTTTTAGAACCGAGATGATGATACCGAGGTCGTTGT